CTTTAAAATAATCACATTTTGTTGCTTTGCAGCCTGAAATGAAGATGGACACAGTTTTTGTTTTATCCAGCTGTATTTACTCAGTGCAACTTATAACATTCAAGTGAAAGATAAAACACCAACATGTCAGGAAAAAAAAAAAAGTATCACTGAGTTGGAAAAAGGATCACCCCCTTGTGTCAGTACTTTGTTGAACCACCTTTTGCTTTAATTACAGCCTTTAGTCTGTTGGGAGATGTCTCTACTAACTTTGCACATCTAGACTTTGCAATATTTGCCCACTCTTCTTTGCAGAACTGCTCAAGTTCAGTTAAATTTGATGGTGAGCGTTTGTGGACTGCAGTCTTCAAGTCATTCCACAGATTTTCAGTGGGGTTTAAGTCTGGGCTCTGACTAGGCCATGCAAGGACATTCACCTTTTTCTCCTTTAACCACTGTGTGCTCAGTTTTGCTGTGTGCTTTGGGTCATTGTCATGTTGGAAGGTAAACATTCTTCTCATTGATAACTTTCTGGCAGAGAGCAGCAGATTTTCCTCAAGAATTTAACGATATTTTGCCCCATCCATTTTTCCTTCAATCCTGACAAGTGCTCCAGTCCCTGCTGCAGAGAAACACCCCAGAAACAGGATATTAACACCTCCATGCTTTTCTGTAGGAATGGTGTTATTTGGATGGTGAGCTGTATTGGATTTCAGCCAGACATATCATTTGGTGTTCACCGATATTTTCAAATAATTCAATTTTACTTCAAGGTGCATTTTGGCAAAGCTCAGTCGTGACTGCATGTGGCCTTTTTTTGTGACTTGTAACCCCAAGGTAGCAGGTTTGAGTCTTGGTACCAGCAGGGATTGTAGATGGGAGGAGTGAATGACCCTTGAACAAGGAACCAAACTAACTGCCACAGCAAGAATGGCTGCCCACTGCTCTGGGTGTGTGTTCACTACTCACTGCCTTGTGTGTACACTTGGATGGGTTAATTAAATTAAATTAAATTCTGAGTATGGGACACCATACTTGGCTACATGTCATGTCACTTTCACTCTCCTGGCTCTTTCATCCAGTTTGGAGCGACGTCCTGATCCAGGGAGGATCTGTGTTGTACCAAATACCTTCCACTTCTTAATAATAGACTTCATTGTGCTTCTACACATTGATCAAGCCTTTGAATTTTTTTTTTGTATCCATCTCCTGACTTCTGCCTGTCCACAACTTTATCCCAGAGATCTTTTGACAGTGCCTTGCCACCCATAGTTGATTGTTTGCTTGAGTTGCACTACCAATGACTGAAATGCTGTGCTAATCAAAATGACCACAGCCGATCACAGTTGAAAGTCAAATGGTTTTGTGTGCCAAGAAGGTGATTAGCTACAACTGATTGAGTTTGCAAGCCATTTTTAGGAGAGGGGTGATCCTTTTTCCAACTATGTCATTCTGTTTTTTTTTTTTCTGACATGTTGGAGTTATATCTTTCACTTGGATGTTAGAAGTTGCACTGAGTAAAAAACAGCTGGATAAAACAAAAACTGTGTCCGTCTTCATTTCTGGCTGCAAAGCAACAAAATTTGATTATTGTAAAGGGGGTGATTCTTTTCTATACTCACTGTGTATATATTGCAAATATTCCCTACAACTAATGAGCTTAGATTTGTTTCTATATAAGAATTTATTTTAATTTAATTTAATCTAATATAGAAATGAAAATGAGTTCATAGGTTGCTATATGGCATAAAAACCAATGCAATCAAAATTTCCATCTAGTAACATCTATTTATTTGTCACCAGAATTAAGCTATAACTTGGACTGAAAGAAAATGAAAAAAATACATTCAACAAATTCACTCAATTCAGGTGTATTATGACTTTTATAATCAATAACTCGCTGCTTAACATTGACAGTAGTTCAGTGTATTGTTTCACAAAGTATTTAACCCATGTTGTCAGTGCAAAGTCACTTTTCTTAGAGCTCAAACTCCAGCAAACACTCCTCAAACATTACACCTTCCTTTAGTTCAGTGGTTTGAGGCCTCAAATTATTCTAAACGGAGGGCACTTGACATAATAGCACAGCCTGACACATTAACCATTACACTAAACACACACACTCATTAACTGCTCAAACTACAGTTGTTTTCAAGCAGTGATCTCAGTTAAGACACTTCTTGCTATGTATGACCACAGACTTCAGATATTTAGGTTAGTTTGTATTTTAGTTTAATAGGTATACATTTAGTCAGTAACCAAAGAAAAGCTTCTGTGATTTTACTACAGGAGAGAAATTGGGTATTGTCATGGCTCTGTCAACAAGCAGATAAAAAATAAAATCAAAATCGTATTGCAGCATGTAGTTAAACCTGTCTAGCTAGTGTTTGTTTTACATTGTTTGAATGCATCTGTTCAACATCCTGTAAGATTGGACTTTATTCACTGATTGGAGATTTAAATACTTTGGTTTCCAAACCATGTTAAAATATCTTTTTAATTATGGTGACAGCAACTGAGGTGCAAAAAATTGCAATTGTGTCATTCTAACGCTGTACTGCCAAAATATCTGTTGGTCTCATTGAGGAGGCATCTGAAGGGGAAAAAAAACAAAACAATACACACACACACACACACACACATACACACTATGAAAAAATGTTAACGGCCCAAAGTGTTTGTCAGGGGTCACTGGGCGGCATCTTAAAGCACATTTTTAAAACAAAATAAAGATCAGTAAAACATCACATTAAAATTTCAGAAGTGCAAATCCTCATTAAAAGAAACATTTTCAAAAAGATCTAAGTCAAATTTGCATGTGATGATACAGATTTTCCCAACAGTCTGATTCTTTTGTGCAAAGTGTAGTCCATCCAAAAGTCCTCAGTGGCTCACAAGTTCATGTTTCTACTGTCTGAAGTAACACACATCATCCATGGCTGCTGTGATTCTGTGAGAATGGACAGATATGAGATTTAAATAACAGATAAGATGAGCTTTTCCATTCACATTCTACAATAAAACAACAACTCACTATCATGGGCAGGGGGCGCTGTTTCTAATGGAATCATACTTCACAGCTTTTATGGCTCAATGTTTACAAAGTTTAGACATCATTATCTAGAGAAAAGACATGGATGTGGAGAGAGAGAAAAATGTGTTTTTACCTCGGGGCCTGGTATCCTCCCTGACACAGGTTTACTAAAGCATACAGGTGCCTCAGAGCATATTCATACTGCAACAAGAGAGAAAAGCTGTCACACACACAGCACAACACAACTAATCATGCAGATGAAAGAGAACAAGGTTCGTACCTCCTGCTGGTGCCAGTTGAAGCAGTGTTTCTTGTAGTGCTTGACAGCAGTT